TATGTATATATATATATATATATAATGTAATAGAGAAAAAATTGCCGAGTGTCGCTGAACACGAAATACTAAAGTCAAATGTTTCTGATAGGCTTAAAAATTTAGGAGACTTTAGATTGAGGAGACCGATGGTACGCCCCACCCGGCGTCCAGATGTGCTTTGTCAGCATGTATGAATGATTCGATGCAGTTCAGACAATCCTCTGCAGGTTGTATGCACACTATCGGCTTATTGCAGGTTGTGCATCTTGTTTGATTACGCACGGTACTCTGGTGCGTTAAACTATGTGAAAAGATGGGTAGAAATTGCTTCTTATATTTGGTTGTCTCGCGTTCGTAGCAATCGTTGCAAATTTTAATAAAACTGCTATTGTGTTGATAGACTCGACAACCTTCCAATACGATGACGCACCGAAGGTTTCTTAAATACCGATAGGCATTCCATTGATTTTCCGCTTGAACCGGGGTAGATGGTTCTTCATCTGGTGATTCAGTGATGCAGCAGAGGTAGCGACACAGTGGCATTTCGCGTACTTCTACCAAGAGATTATTAATGTTAAGATTATTCATTACGCAGTAAATTCGAGTTCCTTATTTTAATCCTATCGTTATTATAAAAATGTATATATGTATGTTTTTCTTTCTCTCTTATATATATATATATATTCATGTATAATCATATGTACGGAGATGCATAGGTAATATTCCCTTACTGGGTTACCAATTTATAGCTTTAATCTTAATATTACTTCTATTATTAGATCGAGGGTTCCACGGGTTCTAACATCCCTTCTGTATGCTGTGCGTGTCCTAAATCTATGAGTATGTCCTTAACATTTTTCATTTTGGTCCCGCACTCGTTCCTTATTTCTAAGTTTACTATTGCTGCTTCTTCTTCCACGTCTCCTACGATGCTAATCCACGCCTCACGTCGATCAATCAAAAATTTAGTTAGTTCTCTTGCTCGACGGAGCCACGTGTCTTTTGGCTGATAAGGCCCGATGTGCGCTAATGCGCATGGGATGGCTTGCCACTCCAGCTCGCGATACCTATGTTCTAGTACATAGATCTCGAAGTGGCGTCGTTCTACCAGGCGGCCCCAGTCTTTTAGACCGACTGAGACCATTCCGTCTCCTCGAATCTGAAGCACGACACCTCGATGCCATTTTCGTCCTTCTTGAATAACAACCATTTCATCTAAGCAAAGATCATAGACTCGGTGATGTAAAAATCTACTTCGTCGCTTCTGTGAGCGAGATCTTCCATCATATCCTGGAAATCTTCTTGGCTGTTATTAAGTTGCACCCAAAACAGGGAAGGTGAGTCCACTCTTATCACCTGGACCTTCAAGGAACTGCGCGTTAGGTATTTTGTGCTAAGAGTGGCGATCTCCATTGTAATCTGTAAGAGATCTGTAAATAATGGAATATAAATATCTAAGTAACATAATTAATGTCAATTGTAAAGAAAGACAATAAAAGACGTCCAGTAAAGAAAAAGAGTTTCAGTAGAAGTAGTTATGCTTGTGTTCCTTGGTTTTAACCCTTTAATTCAAGAGTATAAGTAGAGTTTTCCGTTAGTGGAATTGGAGGATAGACATGCTCCCCTTTAGGTGGAAGAGGAGGGGGGCAGGCCTTTTCCTCATCCATCTGGTCAGAGAATTTTACGGTCTTAACTATAGGGTTGTTAGATCCTGTCTCGGCGGGCGCCAAAGTAGTAAAGTTTTTTTGTTTAGGCGGCCTATTCCCCAGGTGTAATAAGAGTTGAATGACCGTAAGTAGTTGAGTCCCATATGGCTCCCAACAGATACATCGACCATCCATACACAGTGTGCAAAGCATATCCGTGCACGAATGTATCTAGTATTAGTTTTATAACTTTCGCACTCATGTATATTCCGATTATACCAGCACTAATATTTCCGAAAATCAGAAATTTATTCCAGAATTTTTGCCACGCAGATATAGCTATCTTCTCTATCGAAGCTTCGTCTAGAAGATTAAAGAACGAGCTTCCGTTCACGAAACCTGGCTGTCCCATCATTCCTCGGGCTACCGCATTAAGTACGGAAGGTCATTCAGCCGGGAACATTATATGGTCCCGCAGAGTCTCTAAATCGTTCTCTGAATATATCCCGCTTGTAACGAGTGAGCTGGGTCCGACATATTTCCATGTTGGTTTAGTCATTGGCTTCAAAATCATAGGTGGTAATGTTTCTACAGGTCTAGATGCGAATCTGTACCAAGAATCTCCTAGGAGGTACATAGCAGGTGTAAGTGCGTTGCAAGTGACCTGTGTTCCCTGTCGCAATAAAATATGAGTCTGTGGAGTTAAGAAATATGTTATATTGTTTCGTATTACTGATAATTGATCGTAGCATTCTTGAGTTTGAGCAACCTTTACTTCGACGGGTACGCACTTTACTATATGTATTACTTCCCCCGCCAATAATGCCATATATCCCGGCCCTTGCATTATATGGTAAGCAAAAGCGTCTGGAGAATGAGTAGCGAGGGCCAAGGCATTTTTTAATATTTTCTGTTCAAGGTTGCATTGTTGCAGAAGTACGTTTCTGTATAATTGACTTATCTGAGTTCGTATGTGTTTTTCTACATATACAAATTTAGAGTTCATATAGGTAAAAATATCAAGATTTTCGGATTTACATTGTTTATCAAACACTTTATTATCAGGTGTCGTCTCAAAAATTAATAATTTTGGATGTTCGGTTAATATAAGCGTGTGTCCACACACTACTTCTTCTCCTTTTTTTGTTAAGGCAAAGATATAGTATCCTGCGAGTTTAAAGTATAAACTATTTGAGGTTGTATGTCGTTATTATTAGTCAATACTTCTGCAATTCCAGTGTAAAGCGCGCCAAAATTAAGCTTTCCGCATGAGCCTAGCATGGGCAATGGATTCCAATAAGTGTCACCTCCTTCTATGTCCACACAGTGGGTGGTTGAAAATTCACAGGCTACTCCGGATCGTAGTATTACTTTGTTAGTATTTAGGCGTACCTTAGCTTCATAATCTACTAGTGTAAAAGTCAGAGTTGCTAGTACAACGACGTCTGTCCATGTTCCAAAAGGGTAAGTACTTCCGTGACATGTTCCGTCATTATCCACGTGTCCTGCTAAGGTGGCAGGTCGAGAGACCGTCTGGTTTGATTTTAATCCGGTTATGTAAACGTGCCCCATTCGGAAATAACCGAGGGTGTACATGCGTTCGCATGCTTCACGTGATGTTTCTTGAATGTACGAGTATTTACCGTTTTGAACATCCATGGTGTGAGAGAACATCCCACACTTTTTAATTATTCTATCGACTTCAATTTTACATTGTATTACTTTTATGGTTTTAAATTCATTGACTTGAATGAGTTGTATGAATTTTTGGGTCTTATTCACATTTTGGAGAGGTATATCGCATTCTTCAGTGTTAAGTAGTGACGTGGTAGTTATATTTGCTAACGGAGATCCGCAGTCATAGCCTATTATCCCGTAAGTTTCATGAGTCCATAGCGTTAATAATATTATTGTTGTGATTTGTCTTATCCAGGGGTCCATCTGAAATTTTGATTTAGTAATAATTAACATTTTTTAGTTATTGGAAGCTGGTTTTATATGAGAAATTCGTAATCGATTAGGATGTACGATACGACTGTTTTTCTTTATCCGAATTTTTACGTTGTTTCGGTTTAGTATTTCTAAAACTTCGTGCGGTCCTGTGTATTGATCCCCAAATTTGCCTGGTTTAGGTCCCTTTAGTAAAAACACATGATCTCTAGGTTTAAATGTTTGTGGATTTGTTTTCTTCTCATAATATTTCTTAGATTTGATTTTGGCTTCAACGACATTTTCGCGAGCGTTTCTCTGTGTGACATGGAGTTGCGTAATTAAGTTTATTAGATAATCGTCGTAGCTCGCTAATTTGTCTTCAGGAGCTAATAATTCATTGGATGGAATTCTTGCTATTTTACCGAACACTAATTCGTACGGGGTATGTTTGGTAGCCTCGTGTATATTGGTATTATAATTAAACATCGCCAATCCGATTCACCTATCCCATTGCTTTTGTTCGTTCGCATATTGCTTTAAATATTTACCTAACGCATGGTGTGATCTCTCTAGTGATCCGTTGGATTGAGGATGAAAAGCTGTTGTACGAAATTTGCGAATTTTAAATATTTTCGCTATCTTTTTCATTAAATCGCTAATAAAGTTTCTTCCTTGATCCGTTAATATTGCTTTAGGTGCCCCTAATATGCAGATAAATCTGTCAACGAAAGCTTCTGCTATCGTCTCGGAGGTTTGATTTGGTACTCCCATGCAAAATTTGGTCAGCTGATCTTGTAGTGTTAAAATATACTCATTGCCCCTTTCGGTTCTAGGAAGGGGTCCTACGATATCCATCGCGACTTTATCGAAGGAAGATCCCGGTGTATCAGTAATCATCATAGGTTGTTTAGTCTTAACCCTTACTAACTTTTTCAATTGACATTGTAAACATTGTTGAATATACTGTTGTACGTCTGATTTTAAATTTTCCCAATAATAATTATGCTTTATTCTATGGTATGTTTTCGTAACGCCTCGGTGTCCGCCTGTAGGCGAGCAATGCATTTCGCCGATTATAATGGAACGAAGATCTTTAGGTGGATATTTGATTAATCCATTGCATATTCCTAGTTTGGTAGTTGACTCGGTAAAATTTTAATATAGATTTAATGTCATTCCATGGCACGTTATTGACAAGATCTGTTTTTGCTATACTAATGGTTACTAATTTTAATTTCTCGACGATGGTTCGTAAATCTTTTATCACTGTGGAAATTTGAGAGATAGTCATGGTTGGACCTTCACGTTGCCCTTCACTAACAGGTAAAGCAACGTGGTAATGTTTTTTATATTTTATGGCTTTGGCTTTGCCCAAGGTGAGATCCTTCAGACAAGGGATCTCGTTCCTTTCAAAAAGTTTCTGCGAACCTGAATCTAGTGGTCTTCCGTCGGTGTCGACAAAATATACGACATTATCCTTTCGTAAAAACAATAAATCGCGACTATTTACTATATTGTCTCTGGCTATTTTTATTTTCGAACCTTGATTGTTGTTGTTTTTATGACTATCCGATCTTTCGTCTTCGTTATCGGTATTTTGATTTTCTTCGATATCTCTTTCTTTATTTGGTGGATCATTTCTATCTTCCACTTCATCGATTTCGTCTTCATTTTCTTGCGATAATCTTTCTCGATGATCATTCTTATCCTTTATTTGACTTTGGGTTTGCATTCTATTGTAATTAGGTGGCTCATGGATTAATGCTTCTTCGGTGATTTGTAATCTCGATGGTTCACACAATTCCTCGTGTGTGAATGGTATTGAGTCTGTATTTTCGTCAGACAAATGCCTGTCAGGTAACTGATCTTCATCATTCTGCTCGTCGGAAAGATATAGTTCAAAATTTTCGTTTTCTTCCTCTTCATCGGTTTCCTCTAACATTCTAGAAACTGTTTCTCTGTCTTTCGGATCGTCAAGATTCAGGAATCTATTAGCATTAATTATATTGCATTTTACTTCTTCGAGATTTACAGGATTTCTTGACAGAGCGTCAGCATTTATGTTAGTTTTACCCGCCTTATATACTACGTCATATTCTTATTCTGTCAATTTTAATCTCCAACGCGTATTCTCATATTCGCGTCTTGTGCGTTTTTGAACCAAAGCAAGGGTTTATGGTCTGTGACCAGAGTGAATTTTCGTCCGTATAAATATGGTCGGAAATGTTTAACGCAATATACTATTGCCAGAGCTTCCTTTTCATAAGTATCGTATTTTATTTCATTGTTGGTTAACGTCCGTGAGGCATATGCCACTGGTTGATCTTTATTTATTTCTCCCTGCGACAAAATGCCTCCTACGGCTATTCCAGAAGTGTCAGTGGTTAGAATAAAAGGTTTTGAGAAGTCCGGGTATTGTAGAACGGGCTCTTCACATAATCTCTGTTTTAAAGCTTCGAATGATTCCTCTTGGACGAATGTCCATTCGAAACGCATATCGTTTTTTAATAAATTCGTTAGAGGTTTAGCCAATTTTGAGAAATTTGGTATAAATCTTCTGTAATATCCTGATAATCCAAGAAATTGTTTAATGTTTCTCGGCGTTTTAGGCTTAGGAAACTGCCTTACGGCC